CTGTGACCACTATATTAGCGTGCCCTGTCTAGTATGTAATTATATGGTGTATTGAGACATGATTGTGGTATAATAATGTCCGGTTTGGAGGTTGACTGTAGTAATAATAGGATCTGTATTGTGGCATGTTGAGTGCGCTACCGCTTCGACATTGTAGGGTGTCTGAGACAAGGGGACCGTTCATTACATGTTACGTTGTGGGGACAACATTTTTGTACTCACTCTCAAGTAACAAACAAACAAACAAACAATCAAACAAACAAAATATATCTTAGGGTAGCATGTCTGAGACAAGGGGACTATCCATTACATACTATCTTGTGAGGACAGCAATTGTATTCACTCCAAAGTAACAAACAAACAAACAAACAAACAAACAAACAAACAATCATATCTTAACGTTTACGCGTAATGTTAACTCTACTTATTACGTCTTTTCTGATGTATGCATGATTACATTGTATATAATTTGTAACATCCATTGTAAGGGATAGAAAAGTTTCCTTAGTATTTTTAGAGAACGTTGTAGTTTCTGAATAGATCTACAAAAGTCTTTTTATTTAATGGAAAGACTATCAAACAAAAAAGTACAGACCATACCTCTCATATATTGACTCTCCTGGCCAACTATTTCCGAATTCTAGGATCGGTACCCCCGTAGGAAGGCCTAGTAGAGGCTATTGAAGGACACCATTCAACATAAAATGGTACAAAAACCAAATGGGTGAAAAAAGAATAAGAAAGTTGACGCGAATTATAACATCTTGTTCTGATTTCTCGGTATATATGTCCATGTGATAACTCTATCACTATATCAGACTTAAATCAGTGGTTGTCGCTCAATTTGAATCTAAAACCGCTGTCATACGACAGACGGCACGTTCCTAGACCTCTCTAGGGTATCAATTCCTTCCGCATGTCTTTCTGCACAAATTCTCGTCTGCAGAGCTGTCAATCATCGCCCTTCCTTATGGCGCTCACCTGGAGCGTCCAAGGTCAAGTTTATTTATGCCCTGTATCCCGCGGCCCACAGAACAGACGGATAATTAGATGCTAGGGAATTTCTCAACGGTCGCCAAGGTTTAAATTTGAACCCTTTCTCGTATCTGTCATCGTGTCGCTGATTGGTCGCCCAAAGGGCAGAGCGCAGAAACCCACACGTGTGACAACAAAAATAAACAACGGACAATGAATATATACAGAAGTGTTGGACAGGGGGGAGGGGGGTACAGGGGTCGTGAACAATGACGATTGCTTGGGCTAATACAAATATATGTCAAGTAGGATTGGTCAGAATTGTCAGAGACAAATAGGGTTATTCAACTTATCGCCTACTTTCCTGAAAGGCATATTTTCTAAAGCAATATGGAGTTCAAGTAATGTAATATTTATATGTTATGTGTAAAAGTACAGTTCAATTGGTATTGCAAACATTTCTGTTTTCGGGGTCACCATTGGTTGCTCTTTTGGCCAATCAAAACGAAGAAAAGGTAGCGTATCAAAGCAATCATATCTATCATCTTTGTAACGAAGTTTTCAAACGTAGAGGCAGTCTACACACAATTTTAAACCTCATTTATCTACGTATCTTAAATGCCATTCCTGGCAATATTTAAGAAATGTTGTTCCTTAGTTATCTTTACTTTTTTTTGTTATAGTCCTCTGGGGTGTTTTTGCGGTCCTCAAGTCTACAAAGAAAGTATTTATTGTCCGCAGAGCGCGCTATGTAAATGTTTAACACATCATTTACAAGTCCCGACCTTCCTGCTTTGCGGCGGGACTATTCCTTGCACGCAAAGCGGTCCCGTCTCTCGCCGGGGTGGTCCCCGGAGTAAATACAGGTTAGACCCTATAACTCCGCGGAGACCTGCCATTGAACAGAGAAACAACTGTGTTTATACGACCTTTTTTTTCCTCAACGCGGTTAAACCACAAGACCGGTCTGAAAGCCGCCATTGTGACATGCTCCCCTGCGTCTAAGCCCTTGTCTCGGTTGCGGTAATGACCTTGACCGACCCCTGGCTTTAGCCTACGTCTGGGCGGTGTGTTTAACCTTGAACTAGACTAGACGTGGTACATACTAAAGTTGCAGACCAAGGGATGATCCGTATATGCAGGTTGCCTCCGTAGCATGCTTATACTAAGTTTTAGAACTGGGGGTTTGGTGGTCTTCGGCTGTTTTCTGATTAGCCCAGTTCTAAACGAGGGTAATTCAACAGGGCCGGCTATGTTGTCTATATGCAATCAGAAAATAGCACATAAAACATCCCAAAGACCCTGAAGACCCCCCCAAACCCCAAACAAGTTTTTGGCATGCTATGGAGGCTAATATACAGGGCCCCATTGAAAAGTGCCATCAGTGAGTGGGTCACCCTGTTTAAATATGACGGAAAATTAATGAATAAAATAAAATTAAAATTACTTTGAAATCTTCAATAATCACTTCATAACATTATTTTCAACGCTCCCTTTTCGCGCATGCGCATGAAGGTAGAACCACCAGCTGTGAAAAAACGACCTCTGCTAGTCTCATTTTGACGATGACCTCTGTGTGACCTTGGTGATCACCTGAAGGAGGCAGACAAGCTGTAAACACAGGTGAGCAGCTGCAGATAAAGATCTGTCTGTTCGGGAGGTCAGAGGTCAACAGGTGTCTTCCGGTACACGAAAAACGTGCTTGTTCAATCGTAACTGTTCATGTCGCTTCTAGATTTAATAAAAAAAGGAGTATTTTCCTATCTCTTTCTCTAGCCATTTCCTTCTAGTGACACAAGCGTCCGACCACCCCTTGCCAACGTTTCCGATGGAATAGTCCAGATGACGTCATCTGCAGGTGGTAACCATACGGCACGGCTGGCGACCGTGACCTACAGACATTTCAACAAACCGAAGAGTTAGCCTATCAAAGAAAACTTATCCAGGCGCCGCTGCCACAATATCCCGGCACTCATGAAGCAAGGTTAGCTTGAGAAATCCTTCAGCACCGAAAAGTGTGAAGTTTAAGGTAGAGGTGACCCCAAAAGCCTGAGGTTTGAGGCTACGAAGCCAAGGAGACATTTCAACAAACCGAAGAGTTAGCCTATCAAAGAAAACATATCCAGGCGCCACTGCAACAATATCCCGGCACTCAGGATTTGACAAATCCTTCAGCATCGAAAAGTGTGAAGTTCAAGGTGTGGTTCACCCAAAAGCCTGAGGTTTGAGGCTACCAAGCCGAGGAGACCACCGCTGTTTTGATGGTCAACCAGACAAGGAAACCGCCCGAGGAAGTGTGAGTCAAACCGGGCGTAGACAAACCCTCGCTGGTACAGACAAGACAGTCAATAAAAGAAAACAGCGGAGCGTGGGATTCTCTTTCCGCAATGGCGTACAAGATAAAGCCTAGCAGACAAACCGCAAAAGGGCACGGGGAAGGGTTCCAAAAAGGTCTTCTTTTAGAAGAAATTCTCATCCAACAAGGAAGGGCGGTAGACAAAACGCACTGGGGGTTGTGGAGTTTAGCCAAATGCAGGTGTGCAAAGATAAATACTAGCTACAAAACATAACCGGTAGGGGTAGTTCAGGGTAACTATAAAATGTGACATTGCGCAGGAATTTTTGAAAGAGATTTTTATACAATGGAATGAAGGAGTTCTCTTTTTAACCATTGATTATACACAAGGATATTCCGACCTTGATCGGGTGTTAACTTGTCAGACCAGAGGACCGCCTCCCAAAACCCTTGGACCGCCCTTAAAATGCAACGTAGTGGAACACATATTTTCAATTCTTTGGGAATACGCTATACGAGACTACGCATTACAGCGAAACGCTACATACATGTACGTGGTGTCGACCTAAACAGTGCATCAGAACGCAAATCAACTCAAATTGATAGTAGACTAAATATACACTGAATGACCATTCAAAGAAAGGCATATAAATGGTTAACCACCACTTCAAGTAGTTTATGTACCGTCCCGGAACTCGGAAGACAGTAGTTTGTTGACATGGTCAGTTCACGGCGGCTGGAGGCCCAGACATACCCGTAAAACTCCCCCTGCCTGCCCGGCACCCACAGTCCCACAAACACGGTCTCACAACGGGCTGCCCCGCGTCCGGTACACATAAAAACACATGTTCTACCCCTTTTCTTCTACAAAAAGCAGTTGTAACACTCATTTTTAGAACCAAAAAAGCTCAGGAAAAAAGTTTGAGGAAGAGATATGTGTTACAAATTATTACAAAGTACGAGTTTTCTGGTATATGGGGCGCACACATTTTACATGGGGCGCACACATTTTTTGAAAGGTCAAACTCTGGCACCAAGGTTACGTTTTTTTCTCGAGCTGTCACCCATTAAATCCTTTAATACATCCTGAGTCTTTAAATCTTTCAGAGGAAGTCGGCCTCCCCTTTTTTTCTAAACCTTCCGACAGTGACTATACACACATTCAGTAGACACACAAACACAACGTACCGACGTTCTGAAAGAGGGTACGCAAAAGCTGCATACAAAGTTTGTGTGGCGGGCAAGAATAGTAGGACATTTTCTGTACCGTGAATTCTAATAGTTTAACTTGTTTTTGGACAAGATAATGCAAAACAACATCCGTACGATGAACATGTAAACATCATTTAACTGTCTGTTGCCAAGCCCTTGTTACAAGAAGTTGGCGCCGCCAATTAAGAATGTCTTTAGTGATAGTCACGGAAGCTACTAGAACCATTGATTGAACAACACTGTGTTTTACAACTTGAATAAAACTAGCTGTCTTGAGGTTTTCAACGGTGTACATATGCGAAAAACAGTCCCAAAGATTCTGCTGAAAAAGTTGGGACATGGTCGACCAGGATTTTCGTGTTCTAGAAACTGTAACTGACTAGAACTTTCAAACGCAAGACCTTATAACCTTACAACAAACTCAAAACAAATCGTTCCTCTATTCACTGAACAGTTTCGAAGACAAGCCAGCTGAAAGTATAAGTATCAGACGAGAAAGTTGCGTCAGAAAACGTACCTTTCGCTTGAAAACGTCGAAGAACGCCCGCGTGCCGTGCGTAGCTCGCTCGGCGTCGGTACGGAATGCCCTGCCTAGCCGCCAAACTACAACCCCAAGTCCCCGCTTCACTGTAACTCCTCCTTCTTTTTGACAACCTCATTTATATTCCTTCCCAGGGGCTTTAAAGGCCCGGTACTGTGTATACCACGTGTAAACAATGTTTGTCTCTACAGGGACAAACAGGCCGGACATATGAGTAGACCGGTATACATGGTGAGGGGCCTGTCAAATTAAGTGCAGAAGTACCACATGTGGCGGTTTAGAGTTTGCGGCGGTTTTAGAAAAACCCCTGTTCCGGAACTTTTCTTACGTTTCAACAGACATGCCAAGAACAACTCAAGAAAGTCAGGACAAGAAACACAACACTCAGGGGGCGTCTTAAAAGCATTCTCCGTATTTAGACAAGATTTTTGTCTCAGGCTACAAGACGAACTAAGATATATTGTGTTCTAAGAACTTGCAACGCTGTGTAGATTTTGAGCCTTGGCCAAACATTTGGGTCCAGCCACTATTCACTAACACAAACCATGATGTCATATCTACCTCTGTACTTTGGGTTCCTTTCCCATGTAAACAGTCTGGTCACAGGGTAACTTCTTTTCTGTGATTTATTTAAGGCGTTTGAGACTGAGGTTTTGAGGTCAGTGGCCTTAAGGAAATTGAGGAAGATGAAGAAAGTGAGTCAAGATGTCTCGAACAAGCTTATGAAAGTCAGTTTATGTAAGAATTGTTTTGTGAAAATCTTATGAGTCGAATTTTTCAGACCCCTGCACGTAAAAAGTTCGTAAAAGAGCCCAACACACTTGTCAAGAAAAGTAGTGGGCACTACTTCTACAATGTGCTACCCCTACTAGATCCTACTAAAGTTCTAGCTACGACTGTAGATGTACATGTACTTGACAAAAAGCATCGAGCTTCAACTCCGTTGAGGTAGCCAAGGGCAGTGCCATCAGATTTGCTACGAGCCTTGAAGAAAATCGGATGGCACCTAGGCTACTGTTGAAAACAATTGTAAGTTGGCAACATAGAAACGCCAGCCTTAGTGTACGTGTGCCCGAGTTCCGCGCCGTGGGACAGCTGACTGAGGTTATGTTTGTTGTATGTTTTCCCGCGGTAGACTAAACGGAAAGAGCCCGGAGTGTCCCGTGAAGGCTGGCGGTGTTACGGTACAACAGTGTAACGGTGAGACGCCCGGGCTGGGATCCCTTACACACGGGGGGTGCGCCGGCTCACCTCAGCATGCCCCCCGCTGTCTGGTCTAGCCGGCCACGGGATGAGTAATACAAGGACACACCGGTGTTAGCCTGGATACCAGACTGTTCTCAGGCCCAATACAAAGGTCTAGACCCTTTAACTGAAGCGGTCTGTGGCGAAATTTCCTTGGGGAAATATTGGCCTTAGAGCCGGAGAGCTTGTATACTGCCCCTGGCAACAGTCTGGCTCCCAAGTTGACCAGCCCCTCCAACTCTGTCCTGCCACTTGCTACTCTCCAAGCAGAGGTTGATGGTGGAAGAACGTTTGCTTTTTATATATGGCCTTTTTTTGTCGCTACCACCACTTCTTGGGTGGGGAAATGGTTACAGGCTGGCCAATTTGTTACTGTCTTACCCCCACCAAAAGATCTGCTTGGAGATTACCACTTGCTACATAATTTATTCAACCACCCGACAGGGTCTACAAAGAAGGGCACGCATCCAACCCACAAAACAGTAGAGTTGAGGGGAATGTGATGCGACCAGAAAGTCTAAGGTATAGAAATACAACGCATTTAAACGCCGTGAACACGAGAAATGTGCAAAACTTCCGGTTGAAGTTCAGTGAATACAAACATTGGCAGTTTGCTTGTCTGTGCCACGCAGCTGCTGCTGACGCCCCAAGACGACACGGGCTATAGAACAGAAATTTGTCGCATGCTACAACAGCTCGCCTCCTGGCAATGTTTGGACCATTAGTGGTGCTATTTGAGAAACTAGCTCTTTGCGACACAAGGGCAGAAACGCGAGGGACAGTGTTGAAAGTAGCCTAGGCCTGGATACCAGGCTGTTTCTAGAGCATAGAAAGGACGGCTCCTCAGCTATATTAAAGGCCAGCATGCACCCGAGGACTTTTTACTACAACCCCCTCAGTTAGATTCTATGTATGGTAAACTTAGCCTCCACCAGGCTTCGGGAGCGGATAGAAAGAGTTGGCTAAATAGAGAGATAACATGCCGAGGGAGTTGGTCCGCTAGGAAGAACATTTTGCCGCACAGCCGTCTCCCACAGCCTGGTAGAGGCTATGGTAAACCCTCCTTTGGGATCATGTTGGTCCTAGAGCAGAGGAGCTGGCCCCCGTGCGCCCTAGAAACAGTCTGGCTTCCAGGCTATATTAAAAGAAGACCATAAAGAGACGTCGTGCGTCTATCATATTAAGAGGGGGCGGGGTTAGGGTAGGGGTGGGCTAGAGAGTCGTCAACTCTCTCTCCTATATGGATTATCAATATTTCAAATCATGATCATTCGATTGTTACATAACATTGTACGGATGTGAACATATAGATAATTTAATAATGAGACAAATTAAAATGAGACACATGACCATCAGTAAAGGATTAGGAAATTACGGAAGAGCCCCACCCCCTTCGAACCCTACTCTCCAAGCAGAGGTCTTGGTTTGGGGTTATTTTTAGCGCGTTTTTAGGCTTTTTTATCCGGGGTTTCTCTTTTGCACTGAACTTCCCCCCCCCCCCACCAAATTGAGTGCAAAAGAGAAACCCCGATAAAAAAGACCTTAAAACACGCTAAAAACTAACCCCCCCAAAACCCAAACCTCTGCTTGGAGAGTAGTCGAACCCGTCTGACTGTATTAACTCACTTGGTAAATTCAATCAAACAGTGGACCTGGTTTAGATTGTTCTCAGTGGAGCCATGTTGGAGAAAATGGGAACACGTCCATGACTTTGTTACGGTATCGTGTTCACGGGTCCACCTGGTGCTAGTTACAGCTAGCGCCGCTGCCAAACATGGAGCCTGCATGCTATGTTCACGTGTGTAGCAGAGATGCGGAAAAAACACCCAAAAATACCAGGTCCCCAGGACCCACAATGTGCAGATTTTGTCGAAAAATGACCGAAAAAAAAACAAAACAATTTCAAAGTCCTGTTCCCCCCAAAAATGGGATTATTTGCTCATTCTATAGCTACCTCCATGCCAAATTTCAGGTCATTTGGCTGAAAAATGGCAGAGTTGAATCCATTTAAGAGGGTCTGCATGCTCTTTTCCGTAAGGCGTAGGCGGGCCTTTTTAATTTCCCGTAATTCGTACGGAAGTTATTTTATTTACCGTAATTCGTAACAGCGTACCAAAGAACACGTGCCCTTTAAGTTGTTTACGTTCAGGTCTTTAAGTTGAAGTTCAGGTCTTTAACATTTCTGGCATTTAATATTTCTGGCATTTAACTTTTCTGGTATTTAACTTTTATTGTCACTAGCTGCAGAGAATAAAAACGTCTTTAGCTATTTTGGGGCATTTTATGGTGCCCCAGCGACCCTCATCAAGTTAAGGGATAGGTGAGGTGAGGTGAGGGATCGCGTCTCTACGTGAATGCTCGTAAGACCATACAAATTTGATTAGTTGGTTCTGGCATTTTTTCAGAAAAATATGAAGAGACAGGGCGAAAAATAAATAAATAAATAAAAAAGACCAAGGCATCCTATGATAGCCACAAATGGCATGATAGGAGCTATGAAGTCAACATACCAGGCTGGTTTGTAAACTTTTAATCAAACCACTGCATTGATAAATGGAAAAACTGTAACAGGTCTGAAGAGAAGGGACTTTCTTTAACTGCTGGAACCAAAATATGAGCATTTGTGGAGTTGATTCAAAGGCTGAAATGTTTGTTTTTTTGTTGTTTTTTTTTTGTTTGTTTTGCAAATCGGAAAATGAAGCGGGCGAATCCGTGAAACAACAAATTAAATTGGTGTGGCCTAATGATAACATAAACATTGCAAGATGCCTTGAAAACCCACCGAAGGTTTTTCTAGTTAATTTTCAGTTGAACTAAGTTGATCTAAGTAAACTTAAACAAGGCCCACAGTGACATAATTTGGACCAGACTGTGTAGGATTCGGTGTTTTGTTAGTTTTTTTTTTTCAGGTGAAACACCACAAGTTCTATGTAGTCCCCAATTTTGTGTTTTCTATTGATTCAAAGGCATTATTTTGTGCTTCATGGTACTTAGATTGCGATAATTGTTTTCAGTCAAAGCTGTCAAATTAGGTATCCTAATTCCTACCGTATATCACTGTATTTACACACTTTCTGCTGTTTCCCTCAGAATGTAATACTTTATGAATATGTCCCAAGTTTTCTCGCAACGCAAGCGAATAATAAAAACAAAGACGCAATATGTTTTGACTTGAATGATCTCAACAATCTAATAAAACAAAAACGTAATATGTTTTGCCTTCAATGACTCCACAATCGAATAAAAACAAAGACGTCATAAAGTTTTACCTTGAATGATCTCAAACAATCAAATAAAAACAAAGACGTAATATGGTTTGCCTTATTCGTCTTCTATCAGTTTACAAAACGTGACGCATTTCCGGAAATATCTAGTACGATCCCACACCAAATGTAAACACAGGGAAACCGCAGGCAAACGCTACTGGTTGGAATAATAATAGTTCACACCAAGTCAGGAAGTCTCCCCACCCACCATTGGATTTCCGAAACGGAAATCTCCTGATATCAGGCGACACATTTGCGTCATCACTGGGAATAGAGACTCAAAAAACGCGTCTTTGAACTTCTAATGCGATTTCAGGGCAGCAAAACTGGAAATATATTCTGAATAAGGCAATCTTTTGTGATATTGACACATACTGCTTCACATTAGTACATTTAAATCAGCATATCATATTTTGGGCATTTAAAACTGCAGAAACAAGCCCTAAGATGAGTTCTTTATTTTCTGGGTGGTACCCTAAAAATCAGCCCAAGGCCCTTCCAGTAACCATTTTCCGTCAGAACTTCGAGAATTTTTGCTCCATGAGGGTCAATATACATTGGAATAGTGTGGTTTTAACTCAGTATGTAGATAAATGACTAGAACATTGGCCTTGAAAAATCGGATTTCCAAGCTCTAAAAACTGCACTGGATGCCTTTAATTGTTTAGGCCACAACAAGTCATTTATATGGATGACATGAGCGCGTGCATTAATTTTTTTAAGTCTCCCACCCACCATTGGATTTCCGAAACGGAAATCGGCTGATATCAGGCGACACATATGCGTCATCACTGGGAATAAAGACTCAAAAACGCGTCTTTGAACTTGATTGTTTACGTACAACGTAGCTGATTCGCTAATGAAGTAACAAGTCTATCACTGTTGTTCCATTCTGTTGTATGAGAGTTGCAAAAACACGCGCAAAAGCACCGAGAGTTAGTCACTTAGCCATTATTCTTACATCTGCTTGAAGATTATGTTATCTGAAGGTATCATCGAAGGAAATGTTTTTTTTATAATATTTTGCGACTGTGAACATTTTCCAAAATGAAACAATAATGATCAACGCACCTTGTTGACTCAAGCTTGATATCTGCTGTATTGTTTCGTTGACGGTGTTCTTAACTGTAAAAAGACAAGAATGACATATATATACCTCAACAAAGATGTACGTCTTTGAAAAAGTCAACACTAACATCCACAAATTGAAATTATCTATTGCTATATTGCGTTTTATGGCCTCGATGCCAGGCTGTTTCGGCGCCCACTCGTACACAGGCCAGCTCATCGTAGCCTCCTATACAGGCCTCCGGGCGGGTGGGAGTTTTGATACTGCGTTCTGAGAATTTTTAACGCGTTCTTTTGACGGCCATCCTACAACCAACCGCCCAGAAAAGGTTTGTACCCCCTGGCATATTTCTACAAAACGCAGTGCCAAAACTCCCACCCGCCCGGAGGCCTGCACAGGCCAACATGCCTCCTAAGGCCAAGGACGTTCTACAGATTGAACGTCCTTGCACAAACCCACCCCAGTTAGACCGTGAGTTTGACTTTGTGGTAAAATATATTGGCCCTGGACCCCAGGTGCTAGCCCGTGTAGGTCCCGGCAACAGTCTGGCATCCAGGCATGTTTTGCAAGGAATTCTCCTCGACCTCCTCTATTAAAACAGCTTCGAGACAAGACAGCTAGCCCACACCCACCCAACAATCTCATGAACGATCATGACCTTATGTAATTAACTTGAACTTGGCCCTCACCCGTTTCCGTTTCCTTATCTTCTGCTCCTTTTGCCAACGCCAGGAGCAGCTGAAACAAGTCCAAGGTCATGTTATTTCCATTTCATCAATCTCTGTTACAAACTTCCAACTTCCGCCCGGTTCTCAGAAACAACAATGAACGTCCGGTCTTCTCATCTCGTACAGTTGGAGAACAGACTTTAGAAACACTTGTGGATTAGGCCATGTTGATTTGATTATATGGATGACATCCTCTGGGAACCCCAAAACTGATGCGAGCGTGCGAATAAAAGAAAGTTTGGCTAAAAAAAAAAGTTGCTTTCGTTATAAAACCTACGTGGTTTTGAAGGTTCAACAAATGATACTAGCGAATAATCTCGTCTTCGAATTCATTTATCTAAATTATCGTCTTAATTTTTCGTTTGATTTTGGCATTCTGCGACATTGGTATTGTTTTCGAGTGTTTTTTTTTAACTTACGGAAAATATTTGCTCATTTTGAAACTATTTTGTACCATTTACAGTAGAGTCTATGGTTGAAAACTTTTTTTTTTTTTGAAACGGCCGAAAATTCATGCGCGCGCGGATGTCATCCATATAATTAAATCAACATGGTCTTACTTGTTCGAGTCATGTTCACGGGGAGTCTGAACCAAACCAAACAAACCAGGAGATTGAATTCAGTTCACAAAGGTACAGAGGATAAATCTCAGGGATATTTTACTGTTTCAATGATCTGAAGGGTTTTATATAATAGGGTTTATAATGAATGAAAGACCTTTATTGTACATTTTTGCTAGCCTGGTTACCAAACCTATTATAGCTCCCGACTCCCGAGTATTATAGCTCTCCGCAAATAGGATGTAGGACTCGGGATCTATAATAGGTTTGGTAACCAGGCTACATTTTTGCTCAATTGCAAACTAAGTACAGGTCACGGCAAGTAGCGATGGTAGACTAAAATATATCTATAGTAAAACTACATGTACATTATGTACAGGTTCTGCTTCTTCTCGCTTCTTAAGACAGTGGTAAATGTAAGAACATACATGTATGGAGGCTTATAGTACAAGGATTATCGAGTTTCATGAGGAATGTGAATTTTTCTTTTCTGTCTAAAAATCTAAAGGTAGGGAAATAATCTTGTATACAATTGAAGAGAATCTTTCTCTCATTATTATATAGAGTACAATCCACAATAAAATGACTCACAATAGATGGGCAAATTTGTCCCCCATAGCAAATGCTACCAAAAAACGTGGCACTTTTATGAACAGCCATGAGATGGACTGCAAGTGCACGGGGGG